TCAAATGCATCTATATATGTGTATGTATGTTTACTTTCTCTTATAATCTCTCCATATATAAGAAAAATAATTGATAAATAAAAATTGAAACACTATCAATACTTGTTTAGCACAAGAAAAATTACGTTATTACATAATTAATTATGATGCAATGAATATTTGGTATATAAATACATATACGACATAGATTAATATATAATTACATTCTATATATTGTATATAATTATGTGTATATATATATATATATGGACAATCTTGGTTGTGTTTTAGAAATTCATCTTTTTTTTTAAATTTAAAAAGATCTTGCGAAATTTACACTATCCTGCTAAATATTTTTAATGTTTTTTTTATTATTATTTCTTTAGTGTGTATACATAAAAGAATATAATGCATATACAAAAAAAGATTAAAGAGAAAAAAAGACATAAATAGGGATATATTTTATGTATAATTACATACACTTTTTATATAATTTACGAGGGCAAGTCAATAAATTTTTAGAAAAACATAGTAAAACACATTTTTTTTGCTCGATTCATTTTTATTTCTCAACATAGTCTCCTTTCAGCTCGATACACTTGATCCAACGATTCTCCAACTTTTTCAAGACGTCCGAATAATATGATTTGTCCAAAATAAGCCTCTGTTTCGGCGATGAGCTGCTCTCTGGTGATGAATCTTTTTCCTCCGAACCATTTCTTCAGAAACTTCTTTGGAAACAGGAAATAATCGCAGGGGGCTAAATCTGACGAATATATGGATGGGGAAATAATGCGTAGCGGAATTCGTTGAATTTGGCTATCGGTGCCGGGCACGTATGAACCCGTGCATTGTCTTGATGGAAGAGTACTTTCTTCTTCGCCAAGTGGGGACGATTTTTCTTTAAAGTGTTGTTGAAACGGTCCAATAAGACTGCGTAGTAATCACCATTGATCGTTTGCTTCGAGAAGCAAACGGAAGGTAAGCGATATGAATTATACCGCATGCATTCTAAAAAACTATGGCCATCACCTTTCTGGCCGACTTTACAGTCTTCGCCTTCTTCGGAGCTAATTCACCCGGTGAAGTTCCATTGTTTTGACTATTCCTTCGTCTCGGATGAAGTAATGGATCCATGTTTCGTCCACAGTAATGAATCGACGCAGAAATTCATCTGGATTACGTTGAAACATCTCCAAACATTGTTTTGAAATCGTCGTGCTTATGGTCCACAGTGAGCAAACGCGGCACCCATTTTGCCGATAGCTTTTTCATAATTGTTCGTGTAAAATTGAAATCACTGTGCCATGTGATATGCCTGTGGTCTCAACAAGCTCGCGCATTTTCATTCGTCGATCAAAACAATATCGTGGGCTTTATCGATGATTTCTGGCGTAGCAGCCTCAATTGAACATCCCGAACAAGGTGCATCACATGTGGATGTACTATCACGTTTAAATTCATTCACCTAATTGTATACAGTCGCTGGTGCAGATGTGCATGATGAACATTATCCAACTCGGCTTTGATTTTTTTCGGCGTTAAACCTTTCATAGATGTAGATGTTCGATCGCAGTACGAAATTCGTTTTTTTCCATTTTGCAAAAAATACAAAGATTATTCACTTTAATCGTCTACAGAAATGAAAATGCGATGAATTCCGCTTAAATTTGACAGTAATCAGCTGAGAGATGCTACTTGCCAAAAAGTAAGTGTGACATGACACTGCGAGTGTCCTCTGACAGATTTTCTAAGAAATTGACTTGTTCTCGTATATATACCACTTTTCACAAAGATTATTTTAATAATAATAAATAATCGAGGCAACAAAAAGTGTCTAAAATCAGGTCACAAGACGTTCTTTGTGTCTAAAAGACGACTTAAAGACGTCTTATGTCATAATTTTTATCGTTTGGGAAGGCATTTAACGAGTAACACTATTCTTTGGGCCACTTGAGATTTGGTTGATGTAGATTTTTTGTTAAATACTTGTACAATGAAAAAATCATGAAGAGAAAGTGCTGGAGTCATTCAAAGTTATGGTGAATCGTTATTTTTCGATAAAAATTGAAAAATCTGCAAATACCATATAAGCGATAAATTGAGTTAACATCTTACTTATTACTTCAGCTGTCTTTCTTATCGTGATCTTAAGAGAAAAATTTCATTTTTTATTGAATATAAAATATTCTCTATAGAAATTTTGCACTAAATAATGAATAAGTAAAACAGATGTTTTATTAAAGTCATTATATTCGTTCTCCTTTTTATCGTCTTGATTTTTATCAAATTACCAACCATCAACAAATCATCTAAAAGATTGATATTATAGATTTGTTCATGTCGTATTCTCCAACATAGCGAACTCCTATCATAGCTCCTACTCAATCCAATGCGTTTGTTGAAATGAAACACGGAATGAATTTATATTTCCACATCCATGAAGATACCGCAATAGAGAGAAATATGCAACCAAATGAACAAAAAAAAAAGACCTGGAATTTTCTCTGCTGCATGTCTTATAGATTTTCTTTTTCGTGAAAATGTAGTAATGCCTCTTCTTATTAGCTTCATCTTGAGCAAAAATTTTTCGTTTTGTTATAAAAAGTTATCGTCTCAATCGCTACTTAATTAATTAATTAACATAGAAATAATATTAAACAAAGTATCTTATTTAATTAATACTGTAATGTATACTGTAATGTAAATACACAATGAGTGTGAATAAGATATATA